CACACACACACACACACACACACACACACACACACACACACACACACAGCAAACCCTTTCATAAGGCCCTCATATCCACTGGCAGTCACCATTCACATCATGATCTCCATGTGTACTGCCAAAGTCAATTATGTTTTAAAGCCTTTGATGGATGTTATGGGGCAAAGTTATGTTTTAAACAGAAGCTACAGCCAAATCTGTGGTAAAACCACTATTTCCAGTGAAATATTGTATAACACCATTTGGAACTACTGAAAGACAGAGGCTTTTCTATAGGAATCTTCTCTATTACATATTTTTTTGCGTGTTAACCATAGAAACTAAGCATCAGAATTCATAAGCAAGAATACATGATGTTTTATTTTGCTCGAAAATACTGAAATTTTCAGAAGCAGCTTTAAAAAGAACTTTGAATAACTTTTTTGATAGCACATTTGGTGATTATGATGTTGGAATTTAACAGAACTATCAAATCCACAGTTCTCAAATCAAGATGTTTAAATTTTAAGTTCCTTTTTTCACTAAGTATGAGTGAATACATTCATATGTAGAATATGTTTGCCAAATGTGGACAATTTATATGCCCAATACATATTCTAAAATTATTTCTCTAAGTATGGTACCTTAAAAAGGTGTTTATGCACTGTTTATTAACTTGGACATAGACAGTTTGGCTCTCATGTGAGTATACCAGAAGCATTTAAAAACATACGAAACGTTTTGCTTTCATACTTCAGTAGTTTGTTTGTATGTTTGTGTGTTTTTATTTTTATTTCTAACTTTAACATGTGCTTTATTGTTTGTTTTAAAATGTTATTCATACCTGTTCTATTTTTATCATTTCCCTTATCATTAGAAAGTAGGACAAAATACTTCTTCCCAGAATAGATGTTTCAAAGGGATCCAGTAAAGTTGGACTTTTGAATATACTTGTTTAATAAATAACTTTTTAAATTGATTATTCTGCCTTTGTATTTTCTTATATCTTTTGTTGCCTTTCTCTTTGTGTGTGTATGTAATACACCTGTTCACAAAGTTTGAGGAGAGCTTTGTGGATAAGCAGGATTTGAGCTGGCCCTGTTAGGAAGAGTGATTTCAGTAGGCAGATGGGGTAAAGTTCTCTCAGCAGAAGAAACAGTATTTTCAAAAGTATGGAGGAAAGCAAGGACATAGTCAGGAATTGTAAAGCAGTGCAGTTGGCCGAGAGTGTAAGTGCAAAGGATGTGTGATCAGACGTTGAAGAGCCTAAATGGCAGTTATTTAAATATTCCCATTAACTGAGTGTTGGCCAACTGAAATTATTTCTGGAAAAAGGAATATTTTTTATTACAGTGTTTAGTGATACCATCTATAGAATTCTCAACTTTGAAAATAGTAAGGATAAATTTCAAAATAATTATGTATTGTCTGAAGACAGTGACAGTAGCTACCTACATAATTTAAGCACCTCTTGTATATCAAGCATTGTACTAGGAACTGTATGTTATGCATGGTATTTCTAAATTGGATATTTATATTGGATGTTTCTTATGAGGAACATTTTTTTATGGGGAGCTTTCAGTTATTTTAGTTGATGCATAGAAGTAAACAACGAAAAATATTCATATTTTTGTAGATAACTACACATAAGTAATACAAGCTCTAGTGTTAGTTTTCTCAGTCTCCTCCCCCGGAGGCAGTTACTGTTGCCAGTATTACATGTTTAGATCTAGTCTATACATATATCTATACAGTGTATGCATTTTTTTAACAAATGATACTTGCAGAAATTTTTTATTTTTGTATGGTTTTATGTAGTTTTTTTAATAGTCATTTCTGACTACCACATTTTGTGTCATATCAACAAAGGTTTTTCTTATTCCATGATTGTAAAATAATTCTGCCATTTTTTTTCTATTGGTTTTAAAGTTTTGTGTTTCAGATTTATATCCTTTATCTAACTAGAATCCATCTGGAATTTATTTTGATAGAAGGTAGGAGGTAAGGATCCAACGTTTTTTTTTCCTTCCAAGATGCTATGTGTTCCAAGATGCAGCGTGTTTGAAAGTCCATCTTTTCTCTCTTGACTGCAAGTGTTCTATACTAAATTCCCTTATATATTTGGGTTCATTTCTGGACTTTGTCGTCGGTTTCATGGATCTGCCTACTCATCTGCCAGTACCAAACTGTTTAGATTATTTTAGCCCTATGGTATGTTTTGATATGGTAGAGCTAGTTTCTCCTCTTTACTTTTCTCTTACAGAACTTTTTGACTATTCTTGTGGGTTATATTCTTTTCCTGGCACACTTATTTATATACAGTAGAACTTATTCCTTGTGATGTACATTTCTCTGGATTTTGGCAAATTCTTGGACTTGCGTATCCAACCAGCACAGTCCATCACTCCCAAACTCCCTCATGTTGCTCTTTTGTAGTCAACTCCCCCAACACCCAACCCCTGGCTTCCACTAATTGATTTTCCACTCCTGTTATTTTGCCATTTTTTGTGGATTTATCTTTCTGTGTTAATATTAGAATCAATCTTTCTAGCCTTTCCCTGAAATTGTATCTGTAGGTTGATATTGGCTGTGTGTTAAGTCAGGAGTTAACTTAGAATTGATATCTTGGTGTTGATTATTCTTATTAGGGATGTCAGTATAACTATTAATAGAATATTTCTTTTTAGTTTTATAAAGTAGCTTATTTTTTTTCATTTAGTATTCTATAAATGATGTCTTTTCATTATAAGGTTATCTAGTCCTTTATGCTAATTTTGTGCTTTTGTTACTGTATTCATCAATTCCAGAGAAATGTAATATATATTTGTTAAAAAGTATTGACTCAGATGATTATGGAGGCTGAGAAGTTCTACAATCTGTTACCTGCAAGCTAGAGACCCAGGAAAGCTAGTGGTGTAGTCCAAAGGCCTGAGAGCAACAGAGTCCGCAGTGTAGAGTCCAGTCCAGTCTGAAGGCCTAAGAACCAAGACTGTGAGGGCAGAGGAAGATCAGCGTCCCAGCCTTCATACAGTCAGGCAGAGAGGAGATTTAACCTTCCTCCACCTTTTCGTTCTGTTCAGGCCCTCAGTGACTGGACGATTGCCCACCCACGTTGGGAAGGGCCTTCTGCTTTACTTAGTCCAGCAATTCAAATGCTAATCTCTTCCTGAAACACCCTCCAGACACAGCCAGAAATGATGTTTAACCAGCTATTCACACATCTCTTGACCTAGTCAAGTTGACATGTAAAATTAACCATCACAGCCACGTTACTAAATTCTCAATATTTTAAATGCGTTTCTTAGGTTTTACTTGAAATAATCACATCTATAAATGGTGGGTAATTTTTTTTTTTTTTTTTTTTTTTTTTTTTTTTTTTTGCGGTACGCGGGCCTCTCACTGTTGTGGCGTCTCCCGTTGCAGAGCACAGG